TTCGGGTGGACAGGCGCCAAACAGAAAAACAGGAATGACACTAGTTCGGAATAATAACATGAACTCTGTTGCCCCCTAGAGGTGATAACCTCGTCACAAAATACTCTCCATTACAGACCAAGTCATTTAGTCTTTCCACTGTTCAAAATATAGTATAGGAAGACTTTTTTTTTTATAAATCAGTCCTATAATTTATATATCTATATCTATATATACATACATATATACTGTATATATAGTATTATATATTATTCTTGCTAAGACAAACAATTGCATTCCTGATTAGATTTTAAGTAGAAACTATTAATTTATTTTCCTGCTTAAATTATGTTTATTTTCAAAAAAGTATAACAAACAGGTATGAGGATACAGTGACAGAACAGTGTTGATTCTTCTCAATATGCAATTCTGTTCGACTACACCGGAAACAGAAATAGAAAATTACACAAGCGCTTTTCTCCCACACACTGGAATCACATGGAATCTGACATTTTCAAACATAGACTTGTACATTCTCAGAACTTTGACAAAGAACTGAAAAAGCTCGGTATGGAAGCGACTACAAAGAACTGCGACCAGCATGAACACTGATTAACCTGCACATACAACATAAACACGAGTTTAGATTGGAAATGATTCAGCAAACAGCTAGATCATTAAAACACACAATAACTGTTTTCATAATGACTTTTTTTGCTGGGTCCAATAACTGGATGGTCCTTCTTTATCATAATGGCAGTGCCACACAACCTTACCCTCTCTCTCCTAAAGTAATTAGCAAAATAAATCAAGTCATAAACCAAAATGGACATTTAACAAACAATGACAAATGGAAACTGAAGAAACGAAACCCTTAAAGACATATTTTGTGGTGTGGTTCTTCAAACTCTTTTGGTTAGGTTTAAGCAATAGCCAGTCAAAATTCTGTGGGTTTAGTCTAACTGTGAATCACCTTTATTCATCAAACCGTTTTATTCATTGTAAATAAAATAAATAAAGCAGTGGCACTCCAAACTAAATAAATTGCCAAATGTGTAGATTTTCTTCGATAACACAAAATCATTAAAACTGTATGCACGTCAACACACCAGTTAGTGAAACCATGAGGGCAAAAGTTCAGTGTACACACATTATTTAAAACATAAGGCAGCAATAGAACAATATTGCAGTATGTACTTTTTTTTAAGCTTCACCTTTGACAAACGCAAAACTGGCAGTTGAGCTAATGTTTTCAGAGGCTTATTAACCTTCAGCTGATGGCACATGTTCCAACTTCACATTTTCAGTTATTCCATTACACAGTGGTCTTCAAAACCAGAGAGGCTGGGAATGCGCTCAGTACATTATGTGGTATGGTTGTTTGTTGCAGTGTACGGTGATAGTGCGATGCTCTGTTATCTTATGACGCTGATTGTAACCGTGTGATCCTGAAAAGATTCAGCCAGTAGCTGAATTTTAATAAATGCCCCTTTTGATTCTGAGATTCCACCAAGGAAAGCATCACAGTTTGACATCTTTTAAAAAGAACCACCTTCTTACTGCCCGGCCTAAAAAGGGTAGCTGAGTGCAGGAGGAAAGCCCTGATTTCGAGGCTGTTCATCCAACAACATCAAATCCTCCACCTCCTTTCCATTGTACTTGCGTTTACAGATTTTTACTGTTACTTTTCTCCCCTGAAAGACTTTTAGGGCTTCTTTGGAAGCCATGGCTCTGGAGGCGGTTTCGTCTCGTCCATATCCTGTGCCCATGTACACGGATTGACAGCGTATTTCACATACATGCCCTTCTTTCTGTGTGCGAGCTGCAGGAAGACCTGTGATCTCCTTCAGTGGCACAAACACACAGGTCAAGGTCTCTTTACATGACTCTATGCAGCTACGAAGTATCTCAAAGTGGTCCATATTGGGTCCAACGCCGCCTGCAGACACCAATTTCCAGGCCACTGTCTTGTAGAGTCGGTTAAAGAAGGGCTGGTACTCTGCTGGAGCCTGTGGTGGAGGTCTTCCTTTCTGGCTCACAGGCGCAGTTGCCCATTCAGAGGGTCGACCGTCAAGCTCATTAGGTCCACATTTAGCTCTCTTCAAACAGCTGTCAGCATCACCTACTGGAAATAATGATACAAAAGGCAGGACAGTGTTGACTGCACAAAGACAGAGCATCTAATGAGGGAAGCGTATCTGACCTCAGGTGTGGGTGTGTGACGTGAAGAAGAAAGAGGATGTAATTACACTGACACCCTGCTGTTAGAGAACGAGTACTGGTATACGTTGGTGGGCCATAACAAGCAACATGATGTGCACTGAGTCAGTCCCACCCACTCAATATTTTACTCAATGGTCACTTCAGGTGACAAGAATTTTTCTTTAAATTTGGTACAGAAGTTTTATACAAGCATGTATGTGTGTGTGTGTGCATATAATTGTATATATACATAAGCACACACATATGCACATGTACAAATAAATGTATATGCATATGTTTGTGTATATATTTGATAGTACAGAACAAGTATATTGCAATACCTATTTCAGTGTATAACAAACCAAACCACCGCCACATACACACATAAACAGGACACCATTCTTATATCGTTAGATATAATTTATTTCACACCTTTCTTGCCTCCATCAATACATTGAAAAAAAAACACAATTAGGACAGAAGTTTTTTTTAACCAGTTTTCTGTTTATTTTACGTGTGAATTTTTAACTGTGCTGTCCCCAATGGTTTACATCCGGCTAAATGTGTTATCTATATAACTAGTCTTTTCCCCCCTCCTTCCTAGCACATACAATTTTGAATTAAAATATTCATTTATATTTATATTCTTGTTAAAAGTGTGAATCACATACCTGCTGGAGCGTTCCGTTTCCCTTTGATCAAGGATTCAACCTTTGTCGTTTTGTGAACTGGAGGATCTGGAACATTTATTCCCTTACCCATCTCCTTGATTTTGTCCATTACTGCTTGTGGGTAACTGTAAAACGACCAAAAAAGTACTCATTAGAAGACCTCAATCTTTCCTTTGTGGAAGTGATAGCGTTGATGTGTCTTACCTGCAGCCAAGAAAAACGTGATTTGCCCAGACCATGGACAGAGATGTCAACCTGTCCATACTGCTGCTAGAGACTCCCGGCTCCACCGTTGGGAAACTTTCCAGATTTCTCAGAATAAACTCCCTTCGGGCCAACCACTGTTTGTTGGTCTCACAATAGCCCCTGAGGGTGTCAACCCACTGAGCCAGATGCGGGTTCTGGCCAAGATACTCAGCAACTATGTCCTCTGTGCTCCTTTCCTCAGCCATCCCTGAAACAAATCACACTGCATATGAGAACTAAAAATGTTATAATTTTATGAAGTCAGTAATTGTGTTTGACGACAGCTGGCACCAACGGTATAGCATTTTGCATCGACACACTAGTGGCTTTTCCATTCGGAAAAAACACTCATGACACTAAAAGTTCTAATGCCATCACACAGACACTGAAACTAATAAGAAACCGTTGCTAACGTCTTCATTTAAAAACCGCTGTCCTGTGTTGTCTAGTTGTCTCAGCTGTTTTAACAAACAAACGTTTCCAAAACAAACACACCTAACAACTACCTCATGACAAACGACGAGTGATAAACACCGGCAAAAGCAAAGTTCAGACTAACGATTATAATGTGGCTAAAGTTAAACATATTAAAAATAGTGGCCATCAAACATTTTATGTAGTAACATACCCAGATTTCTCCAGCCCGATAGGATGCTAGCTCAAGCTACATGACCGACTAATGACGCAACGGTGACTTTTTTTTGCAAACAAAACTACATTTCCCAAAAGCCTCAAGTTAGAGCACTGATTTGCATGTATTAATTCTTCCGTATCAAATATTGAAAGAGTTACCCGAATAAACAACAAAAATATATTTAACTGAACGTGCAAGTGTTATATCAAAGACAACAACCGCTACGGTTTGCCGTTAGCGCCCACGCTCGTTTCCCGTGTTACTTTGCGACATGACGTCTGCAGTCTGCGACAGCTCAGGCGGCAATATGTTTTGATTCTCAAATGACTACAATCTTCTTTACAGTGATCAATTAATTGAAATAAAATGATTCACGAGCTCTTACTAGCATTAAGTGGATACCCCGGGACTATTTTCACCTGGAACAAACGCACAGGTTTGCAGGTAAAACAAAAACAAGTTTATTTTACACAGCAACCTTTCGAATTTTACAGTGGTTTACGCTAAGGTTCCAAAACAGGTTATTGTGGCTGTCTCTTTATTTTTCTTTGTTCATTTTGCAATGAATATGAATTTTTATTATTGAACGAACGTTTCTTATGGCCAATAAACAAAGACCTCAGCTTTACGGCTTTATTTCTATCACAAAAAGTGATTGACATGGCAACATTTATTTGCATGAAAGATATTTGTCTATAAAGTTTGATAAAAGCAAAACAAACAAGAAAAAACAAAAACAACTGTTGTTTCACCTATAGGTGTCCCAGGATTTGCCATTCCTTCATCCCAGTGAGACCAGTGTCCTCAACCGCTTATGTAAACTGGGCTCTGACTACATACGATTTACAGAGTTTATAGAACAGCATACTGGACATGTGCACCAACAAGTGGGTATCATTTCTGCATCATAACATTTGGATTGGCATTTATAACTTGTGAACTGAAAGCTAAACCGTTTCTTCAAAACACATTTCAAGTTATTCAAGTGTTTTACCTAGATCACATGTCTAAAGCTGATATACAGTTCATGCATACTTTTCTTTGCAGGAACATCACTCCAATCAGCCCAGCCAGACTGGCCTTCATGGCATTTATTTGCGGGCATTCTGCACTGGATTGGATTCTGTGCTGCAGCCATACAGACAAACCCTTCTGGACCTTGAACAAGAGGTAAAATCGTGATAGAACTAGGATTTCACACTAGGAAACATTTGTCACTATTGTGATTAATCATGATTAATCAAGGTATTTAACATTCTTAATTGACCAAACAAACAAACAAAACGGAAGAAATACACTGGTTTCAATATTTGGTGAAAATAAGCAACAGTGAGTGCATAGAAAGTGGAATTCTGTGATATAGTGTGTGCATCCTCTGACTATGTGTTAAAATGCATTATAAAAATTCAATTAGGTTAATTTCAACAGCTTGTCCACATGGAAAGATACTAATGTAACTTACATGTTTGTTACAGTTCCTTGGAGATCCACATCTGACAATATCCCATGTGAATTATAAGCTTGATCAGGTAGGATGTTTCCCTAAATACTTCAATGAGCAAAAGGATATATTCTTTTATGTAGAAGTGATTTTTTTTAAATATTTGTTTCTTTCTTTTAGTTCCAGTTGTTATTTCCTTCAGTGATGGTTGTAGTGGAGACAATAAAATCACAAAAGGTAATGAGATACATCTCTAATATTTCAAGAAAATATGTTTCAACAATTCTGCTCTGGGTTTCTGTAGCTTCTTAAAGATTTTAGTAATTTAATCCTAACTGTCAAAATGACTTTTCTCAATAGGACAATAACACAATTCACCAAGAAACGGTGTTGAAATAATCTTTTATCACAAATTATAGTACATTTCGCAACTGAGCAACAACCAACCACTGTTTGGTTTTTTATGCTGCTTTAGATTCATGGATGTCAGATTTTGGAGACAGTGTACAAACACAGTTGCGGTGGTCTTCCTCCTGTACGCATGGCTTTAGAAAAGTAAGTTGTTTATGAGGTCTGTCGTGACTTGTCTCTGATGCAGAGAGAATGATCTTTGTCTAATGATTTGAACTATTTCCTTAATATTTAATGTAAAACTCTATTTTTAAACTTCTTTTTTAAACCATTTGTACTCAACTCCACAGGATCCTGACAGTTTGTCACGGTGTCATGTACAAGCAGCTTGCAGCTTGGATGTTGCATGGTTTGCTGTTGGACCAGAGTGAGGAGTTTTTTGTGAAGCAGGGGCCGAGTGCTGGAGGAACTGCTGCCAATCAGGAGGAGGAGGACGACGACCTTTGCCTCGGAGGGCTGAGTGGGAAACAGCTTCGAGAACTTCAAGATCTGGTTAGAAGCAGAGTGGGACATGACGGACCAGCCTGGGAGAGATGTATATTTCACAGCTGCATACATGTTCTTCTGTTTTGTTCTGCAGAGGCTGATAGAGGAGGAGAACATGTTGGCTCCATCGCTGCAGCAGTTCTCTTTACGAACAGAGATGTTGCCGTCTTATATTCCCATCCGAGTTGCTGAGAAGATCCTCTTTGTGGGAGAATCTGTTCAGATGTTTGAAAACCACAACCACAGCCCATCTAAAACTGGTACAACACTAGTGATATAGTTGAAAGTTTGGTTCATTTTTAAGAAAGTTGTCACAAATATTGTTGTTTTTTTGACACATTTTAAGGCTCTATACTGAAACATCAGGAAGACTTGTTTGCGGCCGAGTTGCACAAACTCAAACAGCAGCCTCTTTTCAGTCTTGTGGATTTTGAAAATCTCATTGATCGCATTAGGAGCACAGTAGCAGAAGTGAGCTCCAATAGTTGCACCCTTGAGAAAAATACAGTTTTATAATTATTAGTTACAAAATTAAACAACTGCAATCTTACTCTTCCACAGCACCTCTGGACTCTGATGGTGGAGGAGTCTGATCTGCTCGAACAGCTGAAGGTTTGTGTTCAACTGAGCTGTGGATCATGAGTCACGGCAGAATAAACTGTCATGACATTTGCACTTTCTTCCAGGTCATTAAAGATTTCTACTTGCTGGGTCGTGGGGAGCTTTATCAGGCTTTTATTGACCTTGCGCAGCACATGCTGAAGATGCCTCCGACAGCCGTCACAGAACATGGTAAATGTTCACTTTGCTGAACATAAATATCAGACAGCTGTTGCTGTATGTTGAGTGAATGTTGAATTTGTAGTTTATATATAATGCCTGTTTCGTTTCATATAAGGACATAAATTACGGGTTTTTTTTTTTAAATTCTGGTTAAAAATGTGATGTTTGCTCAGATTCTCATGTGTGAATCTTCATGCGATTTCTGCTCCATAGATGTAAATGTGGCCTTTCAGCAGGCAGCTCATAAAGTGCTGCTGGACGACGACAACCTCCTGCCTCTGCTGCACCTCACTGTGGATTATCAAGGCAAAGACAGCAAAGGTCTGAAGTTCATCACAGCGGGAAACCAAAACCTTATTGTCTGTATCACACACTGAGGTGAAAGGTTTTCACTCCGTTCTTGTTTTCTTTACAGAAGGGTCAGGGGCCAGGGATGGTGCCACTCCCCCACAGGACACCTCCCCTCGTGATGTCCCTCCCACTGGCTGGGCAGCTCTGGGCCTCATCTACAAAGTGCAGTGGCCGTTGCACATCCTCTTCACCCCTGCTGTCTTAGAGAAGTGTGTTAACATAAACTCTTCCTGTTTTTTGCCAGTTTAAATGATAAACCTGACTTCCTGTCTTATTCTCTGTTCTCAGGTACAACGTTGTGTTCAGGTACCTGCTGAGTGTGCGGCGAGTGCAGTCACAGCTGCAGCACTGCTGGGCTCTGCAGATGCAGAGGAAACACCTCAAGTCCAGCCAAACAGATGCTGTCAAGTGGAGGCTGCGCAACCACATGGCATTCTTGATTGACAACCTGCAGTACTACCTACAGGTTAGAGTTACCTGTACTTAAACCAGTAAAACTATGATTAACTAGTATTTGAAATACAACCTAGAAGAAATATAGGAGTCATCCCTCACGGCTTGTGTTAAAACATGGAGATGTAAGAGTTCTTCTTAGAAGTCTTGATGTAAACAGAGTTGTTTTTATTCCTAGGTCGATGTCCTGGAGTCTCAGTTCTCTCAGCTCCTGCAGCAGATCAACTCAACCCGGGACTTTGAGAGCATCAGATTGGCCCACGACCATTTCCTCAGCAACCTTCTTGCTCAGTCTTTCATTCTCCTAAAACCAGTACGGTTCTTTTTGTTTGAATTGGATGCTGTTTCTGTTAAGAGTCATCTAAATTCCAGGCTCAAACTGTACTGCTGGTCTGATTTTACACTCCTGTTACCAGGTGTTCCACTGTCTGAATGAAATCCTCGAGCTGTGTCTCAATTTCTGCTCACTGGTCAGCCAGACTGTGGCTTCTCTGGATGAGAGGGGAGCAGCTCAGCTTGACATTCTGGTCAAGGTCAGTCATCTAATTTAAATTATTATAATGACCATAAGAAAACATTTTTAAACGTGCTGCGTTTCACATTTCAGGGCTTCAGACGACAGTCCTCACTATTGTTCAAAATCCTTTCAAGTGTGAGGAATCATCAGATTAACTCTGACCTGGCTCAGCTGCTACTTCGACTGGACTACAACAAGTACTATACACAGGCAGGAGGAACCCTGGGCAGGTAGGACATACGACCAGACTTCAGTTGATCATAGACTATACAGTATATGATAATCAAATGTAAAAATCTAAAACAAACGTAGTACAAAAACCTTGAAATTTGCAAGTTAGAAAATAGACCATTCAGAGTTTGTAGCTGAGTGTGTTATAGACATGGATTTACTAACTAACTTCTGCTTCTGTTTTTCAGTGTTTGAAAAGTGAAACAATTCTATGGAGAAGAGTATTGTATATTACATTCAGTGCTACTGTCATCAGAATATTGTAAATCTGTTTGAATTGAATTAGCATCATGTCATAATTCAATAACAGACAGCTATCTGCTTTAGAACTTCTCTCACAGCCTGGCCATAGGCTCATTTTAGATCATGTGATTGTTACAAAATATTATATTTTGTTGTAATGTGGCAGAAAACTGAGTTGTTTACCCAGCATCATATAAATATATACAGTACACAATCATGTCTGTGTGATAATATGTAATATCACTGAAGTTAGTGACCTTACCATTACTTCTTGTATAAACTGTAAATATGTAAAATCCTGTTGCACGTAGATGTTTCTGCAGAGAAAATAAAACAAAGCTGTTAAAATGAAACCAGAGTCACAATTTATTTTCCAATAAAAACAGACAGTAAAATTATGTACAGCAGGGACATGCAACAACAATGTTCAACATTTAACACCACTCCAGGGCTTTTTGAACATGTGGATTAGGAAGTGAAGTCGTGACGATACTGTGGTCTGCTGTGGAAGCCCAGTTGCTCTCCGCTGATGATGCTCTGAATTAACCACTCAGGAGACACCAGTGGGATTTCCTGTGATGTCAAATTTTGCTCCACCAGTGGTGGACAGGCATGGTCTGTCACCACAACATCATACTTGCCAGAAGCAATGTCTGTAGTCAAAGGAAATAACAATGAGCTGCAAGAAAAGACTAGTGCGAGATTTTTGAATTTTCTTTTGGATAATTTGGAGTCAGTACCTAAGTTGTCCTTGTCCCCCGGGAACTGTCGGACTGAGGCACCTCCACCCATGGTAATCAACTGGGCCCAAAGCTCCACTGGTTTCTCAAAAACAAGAAGAACTCGCAGAGTTTTGAAGGGGCTGCAGCGTGGGTGCCTGAAGAAAGACAAAAGTTAAGGTTGATGTACTGAAAATAATCAATGGTATTTAAATATATATCAAATAAAATTAGTCAATATTTGTTTATTTTTAATTTAAAAAATGTTGCACAAATGTCCATAATAATGAGGGAAAAAAACAACCATTTCCTTGCATTTGTAAGAGCTAGAATGCAATAAATCACATTTAAATTTCTATGCATTAAGCAGACACTTTTGTACAAAGCAAATTACAAGAGGAGGATTAACAATCAAGCATGTGGTTCCTCTGAGAATTAAACCCAAGACTCTCTCTGCTCTCAAGGCAGGTGTGCTAACCACTACACTATGGAACACACACATCACCATATGGCTTGTTATACCATTCTACGATGCCGTCGTCTGGTCCAACACCAGCAGGCAGCAGGTAATTCCTGTAGTTCAGGAGTTTGTTCTCTTTGCAGCAGTCTCTCACCCACATGTGAGAGACACATGGAACACCACTGGCCAAACACAGTAAGTACCTCCTGGTACGACAGTGCTGGTCTGAGATCAGTAGGCTCTGATACGCTGCGTTGCACTGAAGAAAGATGGGAAAGATTAAGACTGTGGAGCAGAGCTGAAGACAAGTGGAGGACCAGCACTTTTAAAATAAAGGAAGTCTGTCCTGAGAGCCTAAACATTATTTAAAAAAAATAATGTGGTGACATAAAATATATGGTCTGACTGTATCCGATAATTCCACTGTCCTTCTACTTATCATTGCTCTAATAATCAATCAATAAAACCTAACTGTATTTACTCTGCAGAGCAACTAGTGTTAAAAGTACCTGCTCCTCGTTAAAGTCCGGCAGGATGAAGCCTCCACCTGCCTGCAGCTGCGACTCGGTGTATGTTTTGTTATAGGGGCCACTCGGGACGATATCTGTTGGGACAGGGTTCAAAAACAATTAATTAAATCTGTAAAAAGGAATAACAGTGTGGAAATCCAAATGATTTTCATCGCCTGCCTCACCCTCCTCGTCACTGTTGGGGCTCTTGTTGCTGAGCCGGTCAGTCTCAGATGAAGCGGTCAGCATGAACACGAAGCCCATGAAGAGGGATGCGTTCTGGGGCAGCGGGCCGTGAGTGACTGACACATCAGTGGACTGACCCGGGAGATCTGTACCGCTCCCCGAGGTGTTACACTCACCCACCCTCTGAACTGAGGATGGAGAAACAGGGAAATGTTATAAAACATTTCAAACATGTCAGTAAGAAGAACAGCTGATATTTATGGACAGTTTCTAATACAATTCAATGCTTTGCAAAATTGCATGGGCATTTAATCCAAACTAAAACTACAACCAATGCATTAAAATAAGCCTTAAAACAGAAGTCCCCAACCACTGAGCCAGAGACCAGTACTGTGCTGTGCATCTTTTGATATCGGGTTTATTTTTTTTCCCTTTCCATTATTTTCCTGGAATTTCATTACGAAAAACACAGATTCAACCGCTCTGCTACGAATATTACAACATAATTAGTATAGAAATGATTGTGCGTAATACAGAATTATAAACATAATTATATTATATATGTTATAATTATATTATATATGCACTTTATTGTGAGTTATGCCCAACATACACACGCAGACACAGCCCTGACACTGGGAAACTGGGCTATGGTCTGAAAAAGGTGGGGGATCACTGCTTTGAACCAAATACACCTGTGAAAAACAAAACCACCCGCAATCATCCCTCCACCTGTGGACCAGCACCACAACAACACCAGCAGGTTATTTACCAAATCAGCCTTGGAAGTAGATGACACACAGCAGCGGGATCAAGGGTCAGTAGAGGTCATAAGGTCTTGTTCATGCTCAGTGCAAAAATGACACAATATTGATTTCGCATGACACAGTTTATACCATCATATACAGATAAGGTGTCTGGTTATCAATAAAATTAATAAAATCCATAGTTTTTAAAACCATGTTATATTTTATAAAATAAAGTGTTAATTCTTTATCAGAGTACATGTAGGCCCAGAGAGGAATATTAAAACTTTAAATACTTCTAAAAGTCTTCTAAACAAAATCTAAAATTAATTCATCCCTATCTTGAATTTTTATCAACCAGCTAAAATATTGATTTTCTGAATAAAAAACACCACATAATAACTTGAAACAAAATGTCTTTCAGTGAAATTCCCATCCTGTCATGGTTTTGGAAATCAGGCCTCTGTACCAGCTCTAGCTCCTGGACCCCTGCGACCCCTCTTGGCTGGAGTCTGGTTGTCCTCAGAGCCCGTCCTCAGTTTCCTCTTCGATGTTCCAGGAGTACGGGAACTGCTGGACGAGCTGCGATTGGGTGTGGTATTCTGACCTTCAGAGGTCACTCTACGTCTTCTCTTGCCCTCCACAAGGTTATCTGAGGAAAATAATAAAACCAGGGATCAACGTGTATATAAAGAACAGACTTTCCACTTAAGAAAAACAAACAGGAAACCAGAAAATTCAGGTTTCACATTCCAGTCAACCCCTGTATTTTGGGGAAGTAAAGCAGCTGCCTCTCTCTTTCCATTTTTGATGGAGTATCAATAGGAATTTATGATGCATTTTTATACACTATATGCCTTTATGTCCATAAAATACAAAACTTCATGCAGTTCATGTCGATAAAGCTCAAGACCTTTTTGTATTTACTGCCTTGCTTTTTATCTCCATAACGACAATTCAATTTGTAAAAAAAAACAAAAAACAAACTTTAAAATCTTTAATTCCTAAATTATTTTAACAGCTGTAGTTGAGTTTTACCCAGGCTGATGTCTGAGGCCTTTGCCAGGGGAGTAGAGGGTTCGTAGGGTCCGAGGCTGTGCTGCTCTCTCAGCTTGTTGCCCTGCTCCAGTGAAAGGATGATTGACGTCCTGTTGTACCACTGCCTCTGGCCATCTCTCTCCACACTGTAGAACAGCTCCACACCCTCTGTCTTATGTCCCTTCACAACACCTGGCAGACAAACCAAAACACAATCAAATACATTTAAGGTTCTGGAAGAAATGTACAAGAAACCAAACACAAAATCTGAAGAAAAAAAAAGTTTTTAACCAACTGAACATTTTTACAAAAATGCAATCCATTCATCTACAAATATCAAACAGAAGTTCTCGAGACTACAAAGAGAAAAATGTTCTTGAAGGGAAAACCTTTTTGTCTATATTAAAGTATATAAATTCCTAACATGTGAGAAGAAATTCACATTTTAGTATTTTGAGTTTTTTTGTGAAATAATAACAATGGGTTTTGTATTTTCTTACCAATACTAAAATATTCATCCTCCAGCAGAGCAGTGACCTCGGTCTCTAGTGGGATGGGATCACAAAGCAGGATGTCCTTGCCGATCACCTCGCACTCATAGCCGTCATCAAATCGTAGGCGGTACCTGCCCTCTCCGGCATCACTGATGATGCGGCCTGAATAGAAGTAGCCGTTGGACGACCACTTGGCCACCACCTGCAGGCCGACAAAGCTGCTTCCAGCCAAGCTGGCCTCCTCTGGGGAAGACCTGAGTGAATCAGAGTGGCTAGGGAGTTCAACGTCTGTGGGGCTGACAGGCAGTATGGGGAGAGGGCAGGCGTAGGGCTCGTCCTCAGAGGAGGACGGTTGGTTCTCCTGAGCACCTTGTCTCTGGAGTAAACCACTACCACGACCCCTTGAAAGGAAATGCACAGAAGTTTGATTTTTAGATCCAAACTTGATACACAATATTTAAGTACCAATACATATGGCACAATGAAACTGCAGTCCCCGTGGATCAGAGAGGGCTGCAATTTCATTGTGCCTGTATGTCCTGTATGTATGACACGTTTGACAATAAAGTTGACTTTGACTAAGTAGTAATTATTCAAAGGATTACTGTTTATTAGCAGGTAGGAGTTGATTGATTATTATTCAAATACATGTTTATTTCAGCTTTGTGGGAGTTAAGGAAAAGGAAGAAAGTGGATTAGGAAAGTGTTAGTTTCAAAGCTGTAGGTAAAACTTTAAACTTAAACTTAACTTATCTTTATTTGTCATTTGTGACATAGCACAGCACAGCACACCATGCACAATGAAATTTAACCTCTGCATTTAACCCATCACCAAGTGAACAGTGTTGTTGTGAAAGTGTTAGTTTCAAAGCTGTAGGTAGTTTCACCTCTAGACGTATCCTTTAATATCTGTCATTTCTAAATGCACAGGACGAGCCTTAAGGAGGACTCACCTAGCTGGAGAGGAGCGGGATGGGGGTCGGCCCCTTCTCACCCTTCCTCTAGGAGACAGAGGGATGTACACCTGGGAGCCCATGGTACCATAGGCTCCATCTTTCATGATAAATGCCCCTGCCCTGTGGCCCCGTTGACCCCTCTGTTGATGCCCACCTCCCTTCCTGGGACTGAAGACACACAGAGGGGACAAATGGAGCCAAGCAAGCTGCACAGACACTAATGTGAGGCCACTCTTCTGTGGAGAGCAGGCCAGCTGCTGACCTCAGACCAGTGTCTGAAAGCAATTTGCAACTGAGGTAGGTGAAAAGTTAGTTAGTCAGTAAGAGATTTAGGGTGTTATAAGGCAAAAGAGTGAAGCAGTGATACAGGAATCAGCATGCGAACAGCAAAGGTAAAGAGAGCATTTAGAACAGGTTTAGCAGACTGTGCGTGAGGTGTGTGTGTGTATGTATGTGTGTTTATGTATGGAGGTGGTACCTAAAGGATCTGGCCCCTCGACTTGATGGCACAATAAACTGCGGCCTGGTAAAGCCAGTGCTGCTGCTGGTTCCTCCTGAGCTGTGCTGCAGACTGGAGGCCTTAGAGGAGAGAGAGCTGACGTCGCCCAGGTCACCTGAGGTCACCGAGCTGCTCCCTGTGCGACACGGAGAGATGTCCCCGTCTAAAACCTGACAGTGGACCACTGGCTCTTCACTCTCCTGGTCACAATAAAAACATCTTGTTGTATAGTGTTGTTGTTCCCCGCCATGAGGTGGTAAACTTTCATTCTTTCAGTATCATGCATGCTCACACAAGACACCTGAGAAACAACCTAATCATGACTGGTATCAAATTCTTTTCCCTTGACCTTTTACTTAGTCTGTCAGTTGTACAAATAAGAACTGCTGATTTACCTCAGTTACTTTTCGCTCCACTTCTTTGCCATCCTCATAATACACATCGGTGATGATCCGTGTGATGGTGGTCCGCACTTCCTGGATGGTACGTACATGTCTGCAGTGGGAGGGTCCGGTGGTTCTTCTGAAGGATGGGGACGTTGGTTCACTCTAGGAAGAAGCAGTGACAGCTCATCATTTTAACAGCTACATCACAAATTACTCCTGTTGTCTCAGTTTTTCATACCCTGCCAGTGGGGGAGTGCAGCCCTGGGGCATCAAAGCTGGTCTGCTGGGAGACTGTCCGCTGATGGAGCTGATACACACAGAAATAATTTATCAAGGTGCCCTCTTGATTAAAAAAAGGAATCCTTTTTTAATCCACACTAGCATAAATAAAGGTTATATAAAATCTCTACAGTAACACTGTTACCTTGTTGGACAGACTGAATGTAACGGTGCTGTCAATGGCATGCTGGGAAACCCCCTTCTTCTGAGCATCTGTATTGTTTGGGATTGTAGGCTCAGAAACCTTTGTTGCTCCTTGTCTCTCCTCAGACTGCTGTGCAGTGTGTGGGTTATTACTGGGCTTCTTCTGAGGTGTCCTCAGTACTTCCTGTTGTGAAGTCTCTGATTGGCTGTTAGGGAGGCTGTTGCAACCCAGTGAGGACATCTGGGAGCTTATCAATGGTGAAGCAAATAGCTCCCCCCTGTAGATATGATCCACAAACACATGATGTTGAGAGACTTTTGAGTGATGCTAAAATTACGATGCTTGTAAAGACGTTCTGAAGAGAGAACCATCAAGAGGACAAAAACACACTCGCTTCTGACAATCTGGACGCATAAGCAGACAAATATATAAAAATAGTTACCCAAACCACCTTCATGTCTTTAAAAAGGTCACACTCTTTATCACACACAAAAGTAGGCTAATTTCTACAGACTAAAATACTTTACAACATGGGAAATATATTTTTAGATCCTCAGGTCCATGTGTCAGACTTCAATTGCATAATTAGTTCGGGAGTACCTCAACAGACCTTGTACATGCAGTGTAAAATAAATGTAGTGTTATACAAGTCTTAAGCTTTTAACCCTAGGTATAAAATCAGTAAACGAAGAAGGGAAAGACAATTAACATGACCAAATTCAATCACTGATATTTTGTAGTGTTATTTATTACATTAACACCAATATTATCAGGTGTGAGGATTTATATTGTACTTCTGGGAATTACATCTTAGGTCTGTCTGATCTAAAACCAAGTCTTCTATAATCAAAAGAGACAAGTGATTCCAAAACGGGTATGGAACTTAAAAAAGAAAGAAAGAATATAGTACAGTATGTATGTATGTATATATATATACGTATATATTTGTAAATACATGTATACATGTATTACAGGTACCTGTTATATGGTCAGAGACTGTGAACTCTCTGCATTTACCCAAGGGGACCAAAAGTTCTGGGAGTCAGTGCTCTTACCTGACAAGTGTAGAGTTTCCATCATGCTGACTCTCGTCCTTCCCCTTCTGCTGCCTGTGCACTTGCCTGACTCGACTGAACACTGACGGGCTGCTGAGATGACAAACAACAATGAACACCTGTATATGTTGTTGCCACAAAGTAGTAAACTACATTCAAAGTCAATGATATGATGAGCATGTGTAAACAGGAATACAGTGAGGCTGTAGGCCGTAGGTTACCTGGTTACAGCCTTGGAAACAGTCGTAGTCTTGATGACAGACCCATTCTCCTCTGTCAGTGACGGCTCTGTTGGAAACAATTTTTACTGAGCAGGTGTTGTAAACATGCAACGTTTCCATGGATACAATCACATTTTACATTCAAGAACATGCAACAACAAAACACAGATTATGCTTGAACAGTGACCATGTTTAAATAGCTCTTACTCTGCAGGCTGAAAGACTCAGAACTGCCTTCTTCGACAGGCGTTACAAGCTTCATCCTCAAACTCAATTTGCCATCTCCTCTATCCATCAGGTCCTCCTGAGCTTCAGCAGGCATGATGTCACTCGCAGCCATCGCTGCATCTGGAGAGCCAGCTACCATGTCTGTTTTATCAGAAATAGATGTCATGTCTGGTTGAAAAAATATATTTCTGCATTAAATAAGGAATGATATATATATATATATACATGCTGTATGTTTTACACATTGTTGCTGCAAACAATAACTCACCAATGGGAGTGCTGTGCCTTAGTGTCTGCTTCAGCTGTTTGATAAGAGGAGGTGTTCCAGCAGCTGCCGGGCCAATCAGCTCTCCTTCCTTGGGAAGTGTGAAGTGAAAGGAAATGTCTGCAGTGTGAGAGAATGAACAAAAAAAATGTTATTTATGTATTACATTGATCTGTTCTTTGTATGGGTATTTCCCACAAAAACTCAGTTTTAAGAAATATCAACAGTACTGTAAATTTAATAAAGAACATTTTTGGGCCATTTTCTATTTCAAGTATTACAAAGAAAAGTGAAACAACTTTAAACCTGTTTCCAGTCATTCAATAAAATAATGAATAAAAGAGTACAATTGTATGTTAGCTTCGCCCCTGACCACTGTCCCTGTGCCTACATTATAAAACCTTTGCCCTGAGTGATCAGGCCTAGCAACATGGAACCCACACCCAGATCCTACAGCCATGCTGTCTGGCCTCTTGCTTTTTTAATGATGTTGAGAATAACATTTTGGGTCTATACATTTATTTCAAATCATTTTTTAATTAGGAGGGAGGTAGTTATTAATAATTTATCAACCATGTAAAAACTTTGCATAATGTAACACACTTGAAAGTTTCAGTTTGGGCTGCAAACTGAAACGGTGCAGAAAAGTCCTGCTACCATAGAACTTGTTTTCCTTAACACACACTTACCTCCTGAACTATCACTGAGGCTCTTGTCTTTCAGTCCATCCAGTACAGGGCTGACTTTCTCAGTCTGTGACAGTCTAGCAGGAGTCACATTCACCTCCTTCTCTTCAGTCTGGTGACCATTAGTAGACACAGGCATGGTGCCTATGGCTGGCTGGTGGCTGTTAGTCTGTGGCACCACATCTGTTTTGACAACCTGGGAATCTTTCTCACTGTCTGTCACCACAATAACACTGTCCAGTCCCTGGTCAACACTGTCCTCTTCCATGGGCTCAGGAGACAACATCTGACTCTGGGAAAGAGCTAGAGCCATTCCTGAAGCCTCGTCTCCCTTTTCTTCCTCCAGCATTATCACATCCTCATCCTCGTCATCATTAGCCTCATCTTGTTGCTGTTTGTCCATCATGCTGTATTAGCCTCGTCTTGTTGCTGTTTGTCCATCATGCTGTTGTCAGCCAGGCTGTTAATTACCACTGCACAGTGTTGTGACTGACTGTTGGTCAGTCCTCCACCTTTTACATCCACAGAACATCTAACCACGTCTTCAGAAGAGCTCATGGACTGTAAGGGCAAACTGCAGGGTGTAATGTCTGAGGGCGTCTCCTGCACACAGCCGCTAACGTTCCCATCTGAGGAGTTGAGTTTTGGTTGTGAACAGGAGACTGTGTCAGCGGAGTTACTCGTAGTTTCTTTTACCTTCACACTTGAAACTCTTGAAGAAGTTTCTGGCTCTGTGTGGACTTCAGTCTTGTGCGTCACACTGGACACCTCGATCTTGTCACAGTCAATCTGACGTGTCGGTGATTCAGTGACCGTGGAAGATAAAACAGGGTTATTTGTCACATCATTATTCCTCTGAACTTTTTGCTCTTGGTTTGAGGACACAGAGTGACAAACATCAACACAGGACGATTCTTCAAACTCCTCAATTTGTGTTGCCTGACTGTCGTCATCAACTTTCTCTGAGGTTTGCTGAGCTTGGCCACTATTTTCTGTGTGTACAGAAAGTTCCAAAGGCAATGCGAAGGAAGTGGATTCTAAACACTCAGAAGATGTATCCTTAAGAAGAGAAGCTGACTTTTTATCTGAAGATTTTGCAGAATCCTGGCTCTGTGTTGGGACAAACACATCCTGAAAAAGAAAATGAACAAAAGCAGTTTACATATACATGTAACTGTTTGTCTGTGCCCACACCAACTACACACTTACTGAGTTAAACTGATCATTAATCAAATCATTTCCCCTTTTAATGAGGGACTTCACCAGCACCAAGGGTAAAACTTACATGAGAAAACTCTGGTTGGGAAGGTATTGACAAAGTTCTCTCCAAACCAAAGCCAGGGCAACTTTGAGATACAGGGGTTGAGGCAGAAGGCTGGGGTTTGGAGGCCACATCTGTTTGACTTGCTTTTGTCCCTGCAAGATCATCTGGAGGCAAAGAAGTATCCATTGGTTCGTCAGCATCTGATGAGAAAAAAATACTAAAAGACTCAAAGCTCTGCTCACAACCTCATTCTTAAAGACAATTTCTGTTGCAAATGCAGCTTTTCACCAGTACCATGTCCATTCTCAGGTCCTGTTGGCGAGCTGGGAACAATGAGGGGAGTATGGGAGAATTTGTCTGGGGTTGCGGCTACATAATCAACTGAGCTTCTAGATAAAAATGAGCAAAGAAAGAAAATCATGTCATCATTGAATATAAGATGTGACGATGAACACGTATTGAGCACTAATCTGACTTACTGAGACAGACTTTCCTTAACCAGGGTTTCCTGTCCAGAGAGATGCAGCAAGCGCAGTGTGTGGGATGGCGTTGATGTTGGGGGGACCTGCTGCTCTGGTTCAGACATCGTACTGTCGACTCCAACACCTGAAGGCAACACAGAAAAGTGTCACTTAATGAAAAATAAGAACAAAGCTTTTGAGCTGATGGTTGTGACCCTCATCATGCCCCCATAACTCAGCTGTTAAGCTTCTGCATGTCAAACACTTCACACCAACCTTAATACAACTACTACTACAGTACATTTATAAGCATTAATTATTAAACACAACGATGTAGGTGTACCCATAATTTTTATTAAAAAAAAAAAGAGCAAAAAATGCCCCTGGATAAGAACCCATGAACTGTGACATCCAGTACCAAATTAACAAAGGCAAATACATACTCTCATTATGTGTGATTAAGGAAATTTCATCCAGACGCTCTGAGACTGGGAACAGAGCTTTTTTTATTGTAATAAAGCTCCATATTTAAGTGAATTAACAATGGTACCTTTTGACTTATTGTGACTAAGGTATTCCAAATGTAGAAAAGACCCCAAACCGAGCACACTCTCGTTCAGATAAGCCAGTGCTTCTTAGTGCCTTACGACAAAAAACGATCACTGCCCTTGGTCCTAAAAAGTTAGTTTATTTGATATGACATATAAAAATTGAGAGCATACACTAACTAACCTCCATTGATATGAAACACACCTGATTTGTCAGCTTCAAACAAGTCTTCTTGTGAAGACATGATCTCAGAGTCTTGTTGCTCTGGCTCACCAGAGTCCTTAAGGCCCTGTGAGTGCAGCAAAACCTGGACGCTTATCATTCTGACAGGGTGAGTCCCAGAGTCCGATGAGCTGCTGGAGCTCACCTCAGACCTGAAGAAGGAGAACAGAAATTTTAAAAGCAGATTTGCATTTGTACCTCTATTGTGTGTAAAACTCAAAACATGTTGCTCAAATCTGTACCTCACAGAGTTGTTGTTTGGACTTCCTGAAGTCCTGGAGCTAATGTTCTGCTCTGCTGGAGATGAAAGGCAGATAGAAATTAGATTGGACACACTTCAGCAGCTCCATATATTGGACAGCATATTAAAAATGAATCAATGTAATAAGAAATCATGTTGAATTAGTTTCTGTTCTGCTCCAACGCATATAAATTGTACATGTTTACGACCTGTGTCTTTTACAAAGAAAAAACACTTTTTTGGCAGTATGAGCTGATGAGGTATCTCCAGAGGATATAAAAAACATTTTGTAGTATTGGATAGTTGTTCATTTTATTCTGGACTAATAAGCTAAAATAATTTTAACTTTAACTATTTAACTAAATATCACAAGGGCCCAAAAGTTTCCTAAGAAAACATTTTAAAGTGTTTTGTAACAAAAGCTGCTCACACAATGACAGTTATTCTAAAGGCCTAAATTAAAGGGGGGTGGGCGGGTCAATACCTGTTTTTGTGCATTTCTCACTCTCCTGGGGGGGAATGGTTTCCTGTTGATTGTTCATCACTTTGCTGCTGTACTGATCCTGACTCTGAGAAAGCTCGAGGAAACCAAACTGAGAGGTTCCCTCTGACATACATACAGAAATGTAAACATTTTTATGTTAAGTAACAGAAGCAGTGTCAGAGCGTGGGGACTGCTCTTCTTTTGTTTTGTATTTGAGAGGATTCTCTACCTTCGTGCTGACTGCAGTGTGTTGTAGAATCAGCTCCAGAATCCACACATGGATCTTCTGCTTCACCCCTAAGAAAAAATATCAATATTATGTTTTTACTATAAACATATCTAAATCGTCTGTTTGTTTTTAGGAGAATTTACTCAAATACACAGATACCTTCTCTTGTTTGGAGGAGGGCAAATGTTTATAACTTGGCTTTCCTCCTGGACTGTTGAAATAGAGTTAGTAACTGTGGAGATTTCCAAGAATAGAAAACAATCATTGCTGACAGATAGGTACGTTTTTATGACTTTTAAGTATTTAATTTTGGGAAACACTGACCTGGTTTAACCAGACTGATACTCTGGAAGCTCTCTGGCTGGCTGTCTGTCTGAGAATTTATGCTTCCTGGTGGAGAAGAAATCAGTTCCTAAGGAAGAAAATGTCTTGTTTAGGTTTCACAGATGAAACGATCTGTTCAGCATCTATCCTGTTGGATTTGAATTTTTTGTTTTAATGCGAATGCAAAACAGCTACACGAGTAGAAAAAGTAGCAGTGGCAATGACATAGTGAATACAGAAAGGAAGAAAATAGAATCAAACTATATCGATCACAGTAACCTGAAATAATAGAAATAAGTTGCGCAATTTAGAAAATATGCAGTGGGACACTGCGACAACATCTGACCTATGATCCCAAATGGCTCAAATCACTATAACTGTTTCCTACTTGGTAGGAGCAATTTGAGGCTTACCAGAACGGGGCTACGGGAAGTGGGTTGCAAGTTAGACAAGCGGCGGGCCAACAGCGTTCTATAGCTGGTCTCTGGATCGTCCTCCAAAGCGACGCTGTCCGGCTGGGAGTCCTCCACGATCAAACACGGATTTTCTGGTTGAGGCAGACTGGAGTCCAATTCACTTCCGCCAGGGTCCATGGTGTTTAACCGAGGACGAGAGCCAGGCTGTTGTTTTTGTTAACTATACGGGTGACAGCGTGACAAAATAATAAAAACGCACGTGAAAATACAGCCGACCATTGTTGTTACACAGAGGTTAGGCTGTTAGCCAACTATGCTAGCAGATCTCGCCCCGCCCCTACAAAAACAAGTCTCTGCCCACCGAAGAGTCAGCCCCTCTCTTTACATTAAAAAAAGCCACGACAAACTGTAAATGTGTATTTTCGGCGACATTTCAGAAATCCTTGCCTCGATAACAAAGACAAGCGTCTTGATTAGGAAAGCGTTTGTGCTTACAGCGACTCGCCTCTGTGACGTAGATATTCTCCCTTGTTCTCGCGGCAAAACTTTAAAACAGTAATTTCATTGGTCGGTGAGGAGCGATGACGTCGAGCTAGAACGCTGGTTGGTTTTATGGTTGCGGTATTTGTCAAATTTCAAGTATTTTCTCAATATTAAAAAAAAACAGCACGAGAAATAAAACCAACAAAATAGCCAAGACATAAACAAGCAGGCCACATTAGCAAGTATAACTAATTCAAGAGCTGGTTAATACACAGATATCAATATGTTGAATATTAATGTTTAAATAATGGGTCCTGTTCAAAGACAGTAGACAGCACTGCACTCCTAAATAATATAAAATACCCTTTTATGTATCATGAACCTACAAGTGGTTGTTCATCCCATTTACCACTCTCTATTCCATTATAGAGCACAAGCCTATATTAACATTCTAGTCAATTACAGTTCTAATGCCATTGGCTGCCCTTTTTTAAAATTATTTTTCACGCTTTTGTTTTTCTTTTTTTCACACACTGTCGACTACCGCTGTTACCAAGCAGTTGTTGAGGGATTCCCAGGGTCAGGTGAGGATGAATCCTAATAGATTTGAATCTCTGATTTTCCAAGTGGAACACAAATTTTAGATACTCTTTATATACCATCAACATGACTCGACTTCACAAGCTAAACAGCAGTTCTACTTTTCGGGGGATAAATCATGCAAATGAGAGAGATCTAGGCCACTGCTTCTCAGAGTCCTCAAGGACTGTTACAATCTTTCAGGAACGCCAACAAAATGACATATGGTTACCTTTGTAACATGATTTCACTAAGTTGGAGACACTGGCTTTATTCTTATTTTATTTCCAGGTCATTTTGTTCTGCTTGAAATCTACATCTACATCTATATCTCAGTGTGCTTAAAGAATTAGGAATCTTCTTTTTATTAATTGATATTTCACTGGCAACAACCATCAATCTGTCATTATAAAGGATAGCCACATTTGTATGTGAAGCACGTTTATGTTGCTCCTGGTTCTGGAAAATTAACAAGCAGCCTTTCAGCTGTGAACATTACTTTGTCTTCAGCATTTGACAGCCCTGGTTGCCATAGAGACGCCACACTTTTCTGAAACAGAATGCATGCAAACAGAAATCATTAAAGTCCCCTTGCCTTTTGAACAGAACTATTGCTTTTTGAAAGAATTACTACTGGAAGTGTTGGGGATGGATTTGTGTCCTGACATAAAGCTCACAATATATTTCATGTATTTTACTATAATGGACAATTCATCTAAATATTACATTGTATCTTTTCTAAAACATAAGGTCTTCACAGATCACCGTTTGAAATTAGTAGCTTAAGAATAATCTTTGGTGATTGGGAATTACCACAGCAATCATGACTGAATATAAAATATACATCTCTTTAGTTAGTATGTGGAAAACACTGTTCGCAGCCTATTTCATTTTCGGAGTATTTCACAATTATACCTGATGTTTGGAGATTCATATCCTGCTTCTAATGACGTCACTGATGGACAGAACTGATCAGTCTGGTTGTGAACTAACAGAAGCCATTAGAGGTTTCTAACATGAGTGGTGGGCAGTTTGCATGTTCACTTACGAGCTGCTTGGGTGGTTCTAAGGGATACAGGGGATGATGAACAGCTGACTCCTGACCTCAGATGAACATTCAGGGTTTTAAACAAAAAGCTTGAGTTGATTAACATATTATAACGTTCACCTTTAGTACTTGAATTAGAAGTAACAATGTCCTTTTTTATTCTGCTTCAGATTTCAAAATTCATTTTTTTGAGACTACACTACACTAACAACGAATAAACAAAAACACCCCAAATAGTAACAATGTATTGTAGGTCAAATACAGGGTTTGGTCTGAGGAGCAGAGATTTTTGACATTATTAAATATCTACATTATGAACAGGCTTCTCTTTGTGCACCCTACAGCGTGTTGTCCCTGCGAAATCCTGGTGTTTGCTTTATTTGGCTCCAGGTCAGATGAAAGTGCAGTCTGCTCTGCCAGACAGCAGCCATGGACCTGGCAACAACTGTGTTTTACAAGCAAAGCATCATCAGAATAAACATCGGCAGCAGCAGCGGCGGCAGCAGCAGCAGCATGGGCACCAGTGACCGGCATTTCAACAGTCTATGGAAACACTAAGATGGAGACTTACTGGCTGCGAACAAAGCAATAATGAATATCTGGTTCTGCCCAGTGGCCACACATGCAGCGCTTAGAGGATCTGGTAGCAGGCAGAAGCAAGGAAATAAAAACGTTGCACATATAACACTGAAACGTTTCTGATGTGAGCTTCGGTTTCCTACAGACAACCTTAAGCGCCCCGGCACCGCGAAGTTGAGCATCTGCGCCGTCATTTCTGCAGGTCGGCCGGGTTGACACCCACATTAATAAATGCGCAGCCATTCCCAAAATGTCTAATCTGAGCCACCTCTGCTGAATGACACTGAGACACAGACAACAGCAGAGAGTCCAAATATACAACTATTATTTATATTCAATGCAGGGAAAAAGAACATTAATAGACGGATTTTTTTTTACCTTGGAAATCAATATGTCTGCTCTCGGGCTATCCGATTTCTTTCACTGTCCCGCTGGTTCTATTAAAAAAGCGTCCAACATCGCACAGTAGCTGCTGCCTCTGTTTAGCCGAGAGTCAGGGTGTGGAATACACACGCATGGCACGTAAAGATGCAAGGGCAACTATTTCATGTATCTGTGCCCACCTGCCCCTCTGACACCAAACACAAATGGATTTACATGGCTAAACAGAGACTTTATTAGAAAAAACGCCATTGCAGTAAAATTTATCATTACATGGAAATTACCTTGGTTAATAATGGTATTTAAATGCAATAGCACAAATTAGAGACTCAGTTTCTTTATTTTAATATAATTAAGTAAAATTGAAATGAAAACCAATAACCAAAGAAACAAGACAAAACAAAGAAGGTAAAAATTCTAAATAACAATTAGGTCATAAACAATCGGAGCCTTTTTTCAAATCCATATGAAAACATATTTTACAAATGTAGTAGCCTACCTGCAGTATTGTTTAGAATCTCTGCTGATTGTATCAATTTAATCGGGTGTACATAACATGTGAGCACAGAAAAAAGATCAAAAATGAATACAGACTGATGCATTCATTCATACATTTATTAATTAATATTTGTTTTAATTGTTTAAAAATGACCGGGGACATCTAATTAGTTCTTCTTAAGGTAAATGTACTTTTTTAAAAGGACACTTAACACAGAGATATACATACAATTGAAAATATTAACTAAATAAAGAAAGACTAGGGATAGATGCAGCCTAATAGTGAATGAATAAACAAGCAATATCAAACACAATACATAGATAAATAGAATAATTACGAGAAGCAGCGTCGGGATATAGCAGCAGTTTATGCTAAAATTGAATTCTAAAATCAAACTTTGTATTAATTTTATGCTATAATTTAAACCAACCCTTAAATCATTAATACATTTTGCAAATAGTGAAATTATTGACTTTAACTGAGCATTGGGATATCCGGGACTTAGGGATAGCGTTGTAGTACTGTAATCTTCCAGCAGATGTCAGCAGACATTCTGGTCTGCCTGTCTCACGCAAATGCTGACTCACTGTAATAAAACGGACTAAATACTTCTCCGACGTTAACTTGTGCGCTGAGCAGCACTGTCATCGTTGGAGTAATGGTGCTATAGTTTTCTTTTTCATTGTTCGTCGTGTTTGCCATAACTGAGGATTTTTTAAAGGAATAATTACCGTACTTGTACACAGTTGCTGTGAGTATTGACATCAAATCAAATATTTCATAAGTCATTAAAGTCATTTCCATCAGCTGACACTAACCCGACGCTCACACGATGCATTCATGATGCATTCACAATAATAACAATGGTTTGAAAAGGCGCTAGTAAAAACACGGTGTTGTCCAGTTTGAATCCTAAAAATTGTTTTCGTTGTTAATGCGTTTAAATGCGTTTTTGTGATTCTTCAAACTTTGGGTCCAAACTGCAAAAATACCTGTTCTGGCCTGATTTGAAGTAGTCCAGCCTAACATATCAACAACCAGTTGGTTCATTTGTACTGTGATTCTAGCTATTTGTTTGTTTTACATACATACTTAGACTTCAAAAGGCTTAAGTTCCTTTTTGTTAGTGTCAACCTCTGCAGAAAACGTCCTTTGTTTGGTCCATAGTGAGAACAGAGATCTATTGGTTTACATCCCAAATCCATGCCCTGGCACTTACGCTGTCCCTATTATAAAACGAAGCTTTGTCTGCTACAGATGTCTTGTGTTCAGCCCCGTTCTGTTAAAAAAAAAAAGTAACAGTGTTACATTGTACTACATCTTTGCCCCAGATACTGTTTTGTTGCGACACTAGCACTATGGTCATAAAAATATTATATATCACCCAATTATTTTACCTTTATCTCAATGGAAGTTGCAAATACTGTACTGTATATAACTTTGATATTACACTTATCTTCACTGTATTCCAATTGACTCTAACATTAAGTGCTGCATTTATCAATAGTACTATGATCCAGCAGTATCATGCAGTAGAATGTCAGTAATGCACTTTCATATCCCTCTTCATTTAGTCCAATAAAACACTGAGACATCAAATAACCACAGCACCTGTAAACCAATAAAAAAGAATACCATCCACAGAAGCACACCCACATCTCCTCCCACCTAAACTTGCATTGTCATGGCGCTTGCTCCGGATGCAGTTGTCATGGAAATGGAAAAGGGTTCAGTGTCCACTGGTGGAACTGTTACCATGGAGACCCCCATTGCAGTGGCCGCTACTGTAAAGCAAGCAGAGCCGCAGGAGTCCGTTCAGCACCACGGACAGCACCAGCAGCACAACCGCCATCGTATGCTGATTGTTGTCGGAGAGATATCCAGCAGTTATCACCTCAGCACCGTCCGGACACAGAT